TTTTATTCCTATAAGAATGAGCAATGTTTGGACTATAAAATTGTCAATAAAGCAAAAGTAAGCCTTAAATACACCTGAATAATGCAATTAGTTACCTGTTGCATTTTACTTTATTTAGCATGATGACTAGCTATCAATCTGATGGATGACAAAATAACCTTTTGAATTGTATACACTAGATGGTAGAGTATACATACTGCATAATACAATAGTTCGTCATTTGCGACACACCTGTGCACATTTTCAGATGACATCTCCAATGCAAACACTGCCGATAAAGAAAACTAGGTTTCTGCAGGAGTTAAGCGCAAACCTGCACAGTGATTCACACCGCTGGGCTGCTGTTGCTATGGGATACAGTCCAATCAAAGGACTAAGATGTCATTTTATCTGTGTGTTTAAAAAAACAACAGCAGAACTGAATCTGAAGTGCCATTTTATGATCTAGCTAGTCAACAAGACATCTAGGGCTAAACCAATAAAAAAATAGGATTGAGGCAGATAGTGAATAGTGAATAATATTGCTATTCTACAACAATGAAACATTGTTGACTAAAGCTTGTCGTGTAATTGTTGTTATAACAGAGTGGCTTAGTAACATTTTGACTGAAGGGTGGTTTTTTCCAGAGAGGTCTGGCTGGTACAGGACAGAGGTCAGCCCAGGTTAAACAGGACCGATTCCGGGAAGAGCATTTTTGTGCCATGCGCAGTAAGCTCGTTTGATCTTCATTAGAGAATTTATTAAAGAAATAAAGGTTTTGTCAGTGGAACGTTGTCAGATGTAAAGATTTAAACGATTAATTAATAGACTTGAATGTCAGATGCACTGAAAAAAGTTATTTAAAAGAATGCGCATTTTACAACCATAACTCCTGAATGTTTCAAATAGTTTCAGCATCATTACAAACGCTTTTATTTTTATAACTATTAGCTACATCTATTTAAATGAGCTGGCTTACATAATAGCATGTGGTATAATAAAGCTGGCTTGGCCTTTTATTTATAAAGTGATGAACCATATCAAAAACTAGGGCTGCACAATATATCGCAATGTGTGAATCCACAATAGTAACATCTCAAGATCTGCAATGTGAAGTCTATATTATAGCTGACCAGGTAAACATTTCAGAAGACATGTAAATCGTGGAGTCATTTCAGTTTGATCATAATAAATTGAAAGTTTATCAGTTGCGTATTATCGGTTAGGATTTTAAAACAGGAATTATTATACTATGTAACTTTTAGCAAAGATTATTTTATTTCATTATTTATGCAATGGAGACAATATGACTTTATTGTTTGTTGGATTTTATTTCTGCACCTAAATAGTGTTTATTTATATATTTGCTCTACTTGATTTATCTTGTAATTCGTTAATTATATTTTCTGTAAGCGCACTCTATAAGACCATCCCAAATAATATAAAAACATTACTTATTTCCAAATTGAGTTATTCAAGTCATTTGGTGAAATATTGCAACATAAAATGCAGAAAATAAAAATATCACAATAGAAGTTTTCAATATTGTGCAGCACTATCAAAAACCATATCACATGTGCTATTCACATCTACATTAGGCATGGAATTGTATAAGCTTCTGACTGTATGATAAACTTAGAAAAAAATATCATGGTTTCACAGTTTACGGTATTATGATTACTTCACTAAAATAAGTTCTTTTAAAATGTCTTTTAAAAATAATTTTTTCCCCCATTGAACACAATATATTTCATTTTAGGAAACATTTATAATATTTTGAAACAGTAAACATGTAAGGTTAAATAATTTAAATAAATCATTGACTTCTGATGTGATCATTATTTCCAAAAGCACAGATTTATTTACAATACATGAAAAAAACACTTACATTTACCTTAGGAATAGTATCTTATAATTTGTTTGCAGTTTTAATACCTTGACTTTTCCAAACCACGGTAAACCTTGAAACTAGTTATCCTCCCATTATGTTAATCTGCATTATGGTTATTTAATAAAGTTGGTAATGTTGTTTTTTATGCTAAAATAGACTTAAGATCAGAATGTACACTTAAATATGGGGGCTATTTGTAGCAAAGCCACAAAAGAACTACTTTGGGTTCCCTAAAGAGCATTGCCCATTTTAGTCATCTAAATAACTTTTTTCCAGAATAAAGAGAATTGTGCGTAGTTGAAAAATGTCACAGATGTTAACTAATTTTAATTCCATTTCATTATTTTCCAATTATTTCTAATTTTTCCAATTCGGCATAGTGGAAATTAGAGACTTTCAAAACATAAAAGAAAAACTATGAGTATTATTTCCAAACAGGTTTCCTAAAGAGCATTGCCGATTTTAGTATTCTAAAGAACCTTTTTCCACAATAAAGAGTGTTGTGCGTAATTGAAAAATGTCACAGATGTTAACTAATTAAATTCCGTTTCATTATTTTCCAATTATTTTTAATTTTTCCAATTCGGCATAGTGGAAATTAGAAACTTTCAAAACATAAAAGAAAAAATATACGTATTATTTCCAAACAGGTTTCCTAAATACAAACAAACCAAGGCAGACAATATGCTCCAAGTAACGAGTTCTCTATTCAGATTTTCCACAACTATGTTCGGTTTTTAATTGAAGGTTGTTGCTTTTTTGTGAAAAGGCTGAAAAGAAAGCGCAAGGGAGAAAGCATATATCTAACTCAGTAACAGAGTACAAAAGTTCAATGTTTTTCCACCTCATTGCATTCACTTATGCTGTGTCCTTCAACACTCCAGTAAACTACTGTCGCAATCCGCCCCTGAAAGCGAACACGCTAGAATGCTCTGCATTCGGGTTAACGCTCTCGTCCACCTTTAATGTTTAAACTCGTGGCCTGTCAGCCATAAACCTCTCCTGCAGATAAGTGTAATTTCTCTCGTTCAAACTACTATTTTACAACCGCACAAGATTACAGGAGGGGTCCTTCATATTATGTAAGTCTAATCCACCGACAATTAAGATAGGAAATATGTCACCGCCATGCCTCAGACAGAACTGTTGTCATTCCAAAAGTAAAGGCGCACAAAGAAAAGAGTCTGCAATAAATCTTTTTAGAGAAGATATGGAAACTGAGCCTTACTGTCAAAGGAAAACAGGGTTAAAGTGTCAGTCAGACTGAACAAAGAGCAATCTCTCTGTAGGTTAACTCTGGTTCAGGGGAATGGCTGAACATAGCGGCCTTTATGCTGTGCTGCAGTGGGGGAGGGCGGTGAACGACCACCGATCTCATGTTACGAGCTGTTTTCTTAAGCCACAAATCACATGGCCACTTCCAGCACTTTACAGCCAGTTGTTACCAATGTTATTGAGCGCTGTTAATGAAAGCTGCACTGGCATTTTTTGCAATCAGAGAATTTTCAGCCATCGTCCCTGACAGCTTTGCAAATAAAAACGGTTCAATATCATCTGGGAAAAAAATGACTTTGGGCCATGGAAAATACTTATTTTATACATATTATGTGCTTAACATATATTTGACATATTAGATTAAACAATAGTGTGAAATTTTATGGGAACAATATGAAATAAATCAACTAAATTTAAATTTATCTTATAATGAAAGCAATCTGTTGGATTTTCACTGTATTTTTGATTATTTTACTTTAGTTTATATTTAATCAATCTCCACATTGCAGTTTTTTATGTTATTATATTCTACTTTCATTTCTTTCGATACTAGACTAAAGCTGAATAAGTTTCAGAAAAAAATACAAACAAACAAAAGCATTTACAGCTTGAACTTTCAGCTGCAGGGCAGCTATTGAGTGTGGAAAGTTCTGTGTGCTGATTAGCAGCAGTACAGTTGGTGACCTCAGGACACAGCCCTGAAAACAAACGGCCAGCGTACTGTACACACTTACTCTATACACACAATGACAGGAGCCGCTCCATTCATCTCCTCCGCATGAGAGCTGCCTTACTGATCAAAGAACGAGTGGGATTTTGCCTCAGTGGATAAGAGATTAGTGTAAAGGCTTATCTTTGAAAGATTTTCTTCATGCTTTAAATTAAAATGTTTTTACACTTTCAGATTACATGATTATTATTTTAAAATGAATTTAAAAATAATATTTAATAACTAAAGATGTATATTAAGAGGTCATTGACATTAGTGAAACTACAATGTTTGATTTAATGTCTATACATACATAGATATCTAAATAAAATGGCACACAATAAGCTATTAGCAGTAACTGTAAATAAACAGATAGAATAAAGCTTACTAATAATTCTAAATACTTAACATATTTTCAAAATGGCATTTTTACATTTTATTAGAGATTTTTAAAAACTACAAATGTGCATAATAATTTTATAAGGCGTATATTGATATTTGCGTTACTAAATCAAGCATTGACATGATAATAACGTAGCAATATTTTTCGTAAACATTACAGGAGGCTAGTAAGTCGTGAAAGTACACATGCATGAATGAAAATAGGTCAGAATTGTTTTATGGCCCTGGCCATTTACACAGATGTGTAACATTTGCTCCATCTGTTTGCAAAATACTAGATTGCAAAATGTTTAATCACGAATACTTTGATTTTGATTAAAATCAAATCAGTAAACAAAATAGTGACAAACAAAAACACTGTTAATCAGGATTTTGTTCGCTATAAATATTTCAACGAGAAACAGTAACGCAAGTTAAACAAGACCCTGGATGAAAATGATCTCCTTACATGTCACAGACTCTACATTTAACAGCATGCTATGTACAGTGAGAAAATGTCTTAAATTCGGTACAAAAGTCACAAGCTGACAACTGTTATTACGATCCAACAACGCTGACTGGGATCCAAATAGAGCTCTACTACACGACTCCATTGCCTGACAGACTTCCAAGCCTGTTTCCATGTAGCTACCCAACGGTCAAAACCTAGAATAATCTGACACTTAACAGGCTATTCAACAATGCCATATTCTCACAGAGATATGTAATATGTATTTTTCGCAGCATGTATGCCGTTGTCTTACCGTCAGTTCGGGATTGTCGTGGTCGCGGTGAGTGACGGCTCGGATGACTCCGGCTCGCCATGACCAGTGCGCGATGTGCGCGGGATCCAGCGGCTCCTCTCCGCTCACACACAGGAACCGCTTCCCGACCACCATGGCGAAAAACCCTCGAAAACTTCAACGCTCGCACCCTACCGACCGCACATTTACGCCGTCAAAGTGCGTTCTGAACAAAGAGAAAGAAACAACCGTGATTTTTTCGCCTTTTTGCGTGTCGACCGCAACCCGGGGGATTTAAATTTCTCTCAGCCTCCACCCGCGAATGGTCGCTCTCGCGCTCCGTGAAACTGAACAGTGAGCCGTTTCACTGCGAGCGTAAAACTGATATCCGTCCGCCTCACACTAGTACTCACGAGCCTCAATAAAACCGCAAGCAGGAAGATTTCTACGTCCGCCAGACAGATTCATTCTCAAGCTGCTTTACTCCTACTATAAGCCAGAGCGCTGGAAATAGTGCTTAGTTGTTGTTTTTGTTTATTTTGGCAGCGGCGGAATGAAAAACAAAAGAGCAAACAATAATAAAAAATGAATTCAAAGATGAAGGAAGGTTTTCAGACTTCAAAGCAAAAGTACAATGCAGCTGCCATTCAGTGTAATAACGTTTATATTTAACAAGAAACAATATTTATTGTTTATAGCATACAGTGGGTAAAACATTTTTAAGTGTTTCAAAATAAGCTCATCCTGCTCACCAAGGCTGCGTTTATTTAATAAAAAATACAGTAGAAATTGTAAAATTGTAAAATGTTATTGCATTATAAAGTAACTGTTCACAAGTAGTTTATAATTTAATTTAATAATTTATTCCAGGGATTTAACGATTAATTTTCAGCTTCACTACTCCAGTCTTCAGAGTCACACGATCATTCAGAAATCACTTGAAACTAAATTATTATTATTATTATTATTATTATTATTATTATTATTATTATTAACAGTAATAGTAATAAAAGCAATAATGACTATTATAATAACTGTGTAATAACTGATACATCATTTCATTTGAAACTACATACAAAAAGAAAGTAAAATTTTAATACATATGTAACAGTTTAACAGTTTGTTTTTTTTACAATTAATAAATGCCAACTTGATGAATAGAATAACTTTCTTTAAAAAAACAACAACTTTTGACCAGTAGTGTATATACATTTGAAATCAGAATTGTAAGCCCCCCTTTAACTTTTTTTCTTTTTTAAATATTTTCCAAATTATGTTTAACAGAGCAAGGAAATTTTCACAGTATGTCTGATAATATATATATTTTTTTTGTATAGAGAAAGTTTTATTTGTTTTATTTTGGCTAGAATAAAAGCAGTTTTTATTTTTTAAACATTTAAGGTCAAAATGATTAGCCCCTTTAAGCTATTTTTTCAATAGTCAACAGAACAAACCATCGCTATGCAATACCTTGCCTAATTACCCAAACCTAGCTAACCTAATTAACCTAGTTAAGCCTTTAAATGTGACTTTAAGCTGTATAGAAGTGCCTTAAAAAATATCTAGTCAAATATTATTTACTGTCATCGTGGCAAAGATAAAAGAAATCAGTTATTAGAAATGAGTCATTAAAACATTTATGTTTAGTAATGTGTTGAAAAAATCTTCGCTTGGTTAAACAGAAATTGGGGAAAAAATAATTCAGGGGAGCTAATAATTCTGACTTCAACTGTATGTGTGTGTGTATATATATATATATATATATATATATATTTTTTTTTTTTTTTTTTTTTTAAATATATTATATATATATATTTTTTTTTTAAATAACTGTCAAAATATGTATATTGTTTATTATTTAGTGTTAGTTACATAGTGTTATTTCAATCACTTTTTATTTCCCAAATGTTATTTAAAACATTACAACAGTCATAAAATATGACTTAATTTCATTTAATGATTTTCTACACCTGTAATACTTTTCTTTCTGGAAAAGTATTTAATCACTTTTTTATTTTGAATCAATTTTATATAAGTAATAAATGTATAAATCTATAAATAGTTTTTTTTGCTGTTTTTCCCCCACAAGTCCAAAGACATGCAGTAAAAGTGAATTGGGTTGACAAAATTGTCCGTAGTGTATGTGTGTGAATGAAAGTGTATGGGTGTTTCCCAGTGATGGGTTGCAGCTGGAAGGGCATCCGCTGCGCAAAACATATGCTGGATAATTTGGCGGTTCATTCTGCTGTGGTGATCCCAGATTGATAAAGGGGTTAAGCTGAAAAAAGATGAATGAATTAATTAATAAACATATATTAAAATGCATATAAGAATATTAAATATAAATTATAATTATATAAATATTTAACAATTATATAAATGAGTTCGTATAAATTTTTCTCTAAACCACATTTTCGTTCTTTTTATTGTCATACAACCGTACAGAAAAAAAAAAATCTGATTACCTTTTGTGTTCAATTGTGTTTCACACTTTTGCGAGTTTGTATCCGCCACAATAGCT